TTCGTAGGTCATGAATATGAAGTGCTGGCTATTCTAGTCCATTATTTTAAGAAGCTCTGGCTAAGGCAGCTCTCATATATCTTGGGGTAGGACTGAGGTTCAGGTTCAGACAAACTAACTAAGTCGAATAGGCAAACTGAAAAGGAGGGTGCAACTACCAAGCCAAATGTTTGACTGTAGTGGGTTGTGAACATTTACCCTTTTTTTGCATTGGTATATGTCGACACTGGCAGTACCCAACCCATCCATGCCATTTGTTTGACATTCCCTTGCCTTTTAATCTTGAAATTGGTCAGAATTGACTTTACATTTTCGGCTTTTACTGACTTCAGTCAAAACGTTTGAGCTGTTCAGTGAATGTTCCACAATTTGAACCCATGTAGGTTTGATTCATCCTTACCTGGAGACCAGAAGAGGTCCAAATGTATAAAACACAGGTGATAGTATTCCAAACATCTGACATTTTTTTAAATATTTGAAGGGCATGGATGCCAGATTATCAGCTATTCTAGTCCATTATTATGGGAATAATTCATGGAGCTTGAGGCTCTGGCTAAGGCATCTCTTATACATCTGGGGGTTGCCCACCAAGCCAAACCTCCAGCTGCAGTTGATTGTGAAACATGTAGAAGTTTTTCTTACATTAATATATGTCCACTAAGGCAATGGCCAGCCCCCTATGCCAGTTAATTGACAATCCTTGCCCATTAGTCTTGAAGTTAGCCAGAATTGATATTAAATGTCCGACTTCTATTCACTTTAAAAAAAAAACATTTGGGCTGTTCAGGAAACACCCTGCAAATCAGACCCAGGTACATTTGGCTCGTCTTTACCTGAAGGGCCTTAGAGAACACCCCAGAAGAAGTCTGAAAGTATAAAACACAAGCAATAGTAACAGAGTCTGAAAATCTAACTTTTTTTTGCAATATTCGATTGGCATGGATGTGAGGTCCTGAATTGTCATCTTTTCCAGTCCATTATTATAAGACAAGGAGTGGTTCATGAAGCTTGAGGCTCTTGCTAAGGCAGCTCTTGTGTACCTCCTATTCAGCATTTGGCAAACAGACAAACTAAAAGGGAGGTCTCACCCACTGAGCTGAAACTCCGGCTGCAGCGCAAAGTGAAATATTTAGTAGCTTTTTTTTTTTTTTTTTGCATTGGTACATGTCCACCCCTGCAGTGCCCAGACCCCCATGCCCTTTGTTTGACAATCCCTTAATCCCTTAACTATTAGTTAAGATAAATTACAAAAGTAACTTGGTCAGAATTTAGAATTCTACTCTCACTTTCATTCAGAACCTCTGAGCTGCTGAGCAACCCTCTACTGAACTAAACCCAGGTGAGTTTGGCTCATCCCTACCTTAGGGAGCATCCCAGAGGTCCGAATGTATAAAACACAAGTGACAATAGTAGAGTCAAAAAGTCCAATTTTCTTTTTCATATTTTATTTAGAATAATATTGGATGTTATAGCCAGCATGTGTCAGGATTTACTAAAGTCCCACGTTAGGGCTTTGAAAGCTCTATAGGACTAAAATGCATGACTCTTGGAAAAAGGTTCAATTTCAGGTCAGCTTGTCATTGACTTGTACAAGCTGCTTGTTGTGGTTGTCTGCAAAAACCTGAGAAATAAATATGATGTACAGCCAGGGCAGGTGCAAGGATTTTAGTCTACACAGGTGAAGGTGCTTTTTGATGCCTCTCCTCCACTATCCTTCTGCCACCCCCAAGGTTCAGGAGCATTCTACAAACAAAGTGAAGGTTCCAGGAGTGTGCTATGTATGGACTACAGCATTTAGGAGTGTGTTATAAACAGAGTGCATGGTTCATCAGTCTGTTATGCACCTCTGAACCCCCATTCAAAGCTCACCTCTGCACACTTCTTTCACAGGTTATCTCCGCAACCCTCTCCTAACCCTTCCTCCCCCCAACAGCTAAGCTCTGCAGCCAGCTTCTTCCATTCTGACCCCTGCACCCCCATTGCCCTCACCTTTGCACACACACAACCCCTCTTTCCCCACTATCCTCACCTCACGTCTCAGCAGCCATGCGGAATCAAGGAGGCATTGTAATCTTAGAACTAGGCTGCTTCTCATCATGGGATGCCCTCCCTGCAGCTCATAAACACACTGTGCCCCAGCATCTCTCTCTGTGTCTGCCCTGAGTACCATGCAGAGAGGCACACTGTCACGTGTAAGAGACCAGGCTTCTCTGTTCACAAGTTAAACTAAATAGTGGTGACAGTGAACAGAATCATTCCTGTAGGTGGCGGAACTCCATTCTGCCACATTTCAGCTGGATAAAGCCCTTGTAAAACCTAATGTGACCAGAAGGCCACATGGGGCCCCTGGAGCATGGGCAGGGTCACCATTGCAATCCCTGCAACCACTCATGCTCTGCTAGTGTGAGATGGGGAAACAGCTCTCATTGTTTGAATACTGCTTGTGTGGAGTAAATTAAATGTTTTGACTGACATTCTGCAGTTTAGCCACAAGATGTCACTGTTTTTCTAACACAGCCTGCATAGATATTTCTATATTCATGAAGAGGTGGAGTTTTCACAAGGAGTTGAGGGAACAGGAAGAAGAGAGAGAGCAGCCATGTTTAGAGGATGGTGAATGCAGGGGCCGTGTGAGCTGAGAATCTGATGACATCCAGGTGTGAAAACATCCCTCTGTAACCAGAGCTGCAGCTAAGTGAAGCTGATCGTGTCCAAGACCCCGATCCTGTTCAGAGAAAGGAAGATTGCTGCCAGGAATGCTGGTGAGAGCAGCAGAGGAACTAAGCAATATATACTGTGATACCGCATTCTTGTTGGAGAGACATTTATTCTGTTCAGAGTCACTAGCAGATGCAAAGCAGACCCGGGTCGGTAAGATCGCACACGCACCTCATTTCAGTGTTGGCACCTCCAGAGACTGAGACAGGCCTATAGCTAGTTAGTTAGGGTCTCTGTTTGTGTCAGACCACAAGTGTTATTACTGATCATTGGAAGGACTCTACAACTTAAAGTGACATTTCACATTGGAGAGCTGATAACATCCCACAAACTCAAGCCAGACTGGCGTTTTGCTCAGAAGGAATACTCAGGCACGTGCTACAGGACCAGTTATGGGAGGGGGAAAAACTGTAGATTTGTGTAAGATTGTAAGCTGTTGTGCTGCACCGCAGGCTAGCCCATACCATACACCCATACACTGATTCCTGCTCTTTTAGGGCAATAACAGGTAAGGTGTGGCAGCTTAGTTGTGCCCGCCAGTAGGTAAATTACTACACCTTCTACCTTCATCCATCAGGAGGCGCTATGCTGTGCAGCACAAGGGTCTCAGCCTTTGGGCTGGGTGTATGTAAATTTATTGTATGTTTCCAGCATTTGTGGTTGTGTTTATTTGCCACATCTAAGTAAAATTCTGTTGTGGCAAAAGCTGGTGTTGGGGTTGCTTTCCTCGTTCGAGACTTCACTGTATCCTAGGGAGCCCACCCCGGTACGCGGCTTACACTAGTGAAACAGAAGACAGGTATTTTAAAAATTCTGGGGATTCATATTTGAGGGTGAAAATCTGCAAGCTGCTCTGTTTCAGTAGCTATGAGGCTAGTTGCAGACTCTGTGGGATCCTCTGCTCTCCTAAATTTAGATTTAACTGGGCTTTTTGTGGTAGAGGTGGAGAGGGGAAAGGACTCAAGCTTCTGTATTCTTGAGGATTTGGGGGCTGGGCTGCAGCTGGGATTGAATTGGCACCATCTTGGGTTCTGTGTGGAGAGGACTGCCAGGAAAAAGTCTGTCAGTTTTTGCCGCTTTTCTTCCTTGTGATGCTGGACATGCTGCTCAGGTTAGTGGTGCCAGACTCTGATGAGAGGGCTGAGGTGAATGAGAGTTGGCTGAGGTACCTCCTTAACCACAGCTTTGTTGCTGAGCCAGGGTAGGGAGAAAAGTGCTCCGATTGGACCAGATCCAACGTCCCTGCATGCCCCCTGAGGTTTGGATTTTTCCAGCCCCTTTATCCTGGCTTCCTAAGGCGGCTGACTAAGCCACCTTATGCTTGCACTGGCCCTGTATACAGCCCTCTGCGACTGTGTGAGTGAGGCCTGAAGGCAACTTTACTTCTCTGGGTGGTTGGGTTTGCCATCAGTATGGACCAACTATATAAATGAATAAAACTGCCGTGCTCAATGTGCAGTTGACCCATGGCTGGTTTGGGAATCTACTTTGCAAAGGCTGTGCAGCAATGGTCAGTGCTGCACTGTGAAGATCTCTATGGCAGGCAGCAAGTATTTTGTGACATGGAGTATTACTGAGGAGGAGTTGGGAAGCTTCACTAAAAGTAAAGTTGCCTTCTACTTTGGAATTAGTAGCGGTTATTCCTTAAAAGGAGTGCTTCATATTTTTCTAAATTATTTCTTTATTATTTATTATGATCAGGACTAAAACTTTTTTTTAAGTGAAATAAGCCTATTTTATAGCACACAGAGTCAGCAGGGATTTAGCAGACAGATATATAGTCTGAGGTTTCAATCAGACAAATTGTTGCTCAAAGCAAGCCGTTCTGCAATGTTGTCACTGCAGCTAAGTGTGCTGTTATTGGGGTTGATTTACTAAAGGCAAATAGGCTTCACTTTGCATAGGAATTTTCCCCAGAGATTAGTGAATAAGGCGAAGTTCTGCTGACTTCCATCATCCAATCGTGTGCAAGAAAAATATTCTGTTATTTAATTTTCCATGTGTGTGATTGGGTATTGCAAATAAAAACTTTGCCACATTCACCAAGCCCTGGGGCAAATTCCCTTGCAAAGTGAATAGCCAATATGTATTTAGGATATCAACTACATTTATGTGAAGTCTGTTTGTGTGCAATCTTTGTATTGTCCCTCTGCATGTGTATTGTCTCTGCTTGTGCAAACTATGTGTATGACTGTGTGCAGGGGCGGACTGACCATTTGGAAACTCGGGCAATGCCCGAGGGCCCGGGGTCAGTAGGGGGCCCCATGAGATGCCCCTGGTACCTTTTTCATAGGCTTTTTTGAGTTTGGGCAAGGACACAGGGGCCCCATGATCCCCTATTGCCCCGAAGCCCCATGAGTTGTCAGTCTGCCCCTGACTGTGTGTTTATGCATACCATTTGCTGTGTGATGCAGTGGGGCTGATATTTCATTTGTTTTGTTTTTTTTTTCAAAGACAGCATATGCTGTGGGTCTGTTTGGTGCTATCAAGGTGATCCTAGAAGCCATAGAGATTGGTCATCCATCTGTAACAGGTCATCAGTTTCCTCCTCAATCTCTTTAAGGAGGAGGCTGGGTTATTCTCCTCTGCACTCAATCTGATTGCACCTTGAGGGCCTCTTTTTGGGATAGGCATTCACCTAGTTGCTTTTAGATTGCATCTTTGGAATATACTACTTTCTCTCCTGATGAAGGCTCTTTATGAGCTGAAACGCGTTGAGATTTCAAGTTGTCACCTGAATATCTTTGATAGATGGAACCCATATGATACAGATAACCATTGATGTACAGGGTTAGTCATTGTTTCATGTATGGCACCTTCTTTTAAACATTGTCAATAAAGTAAAATATTTTTAACAAAGCTTCTTATGATCATTGGTACCTTTAAAGTCCCACCCTTCCTTTTTGCTCTTGATAATCTCTGTTAATTAAATGTGAGTATTGTACTTTGATTGATTACTTAGTGTGTACTTTATTTGGCCTTACATTTTTGTGATTTATGGTTGCACCCAGGGCTTTTTCAGCTGGAACGTAGCGGAATGTTGTTCTGCCACCTCCATCACTGGCCCTGTGCACAGCAATCTCTACTGTCTCTTATAAATACAAAAGCATGGCTTTTGTGTTTGTAAGTGACAGTGTCATCTGCTCCCACAGAACCTCTCTACCTCTGTACTCACTGTGGGACAGGGGAGGAACCGATATCTGTGGACGCAGTGTGTTGATCACATCAGTGCATCTCGTTCTGCAGCCTGATGCTTGAAAGACAATGCCCCAGCTGTGGAAGAGGTGGGGCTGTAAGTGAGTGCACTGTGTGTGAAGATAAGCCCCACCACCGATGTTATTATAGAGAGGGGCCAGCTGCTGACATTTGTGTTGTGCAAAGCTAGCTAACAGTATGAGGGCAGTGCAGGAGGGATGGGGAGAGGAGGAGATGAGGAAGGGGGGGGGGGGTATGCAAAGATGAGCTGCATTCAGGTGTTGAAGAAGTAAATTGACACATGAGTTGCAGACAAGGTGCAGAGGTGAGCTGAGTTGAGACGGGGGGATGCAGATGTGAGCTAAATTGAGACGGGGAGGTGCAGTGGTGAGATGAGTTGAGACGGGAGGTGCAGAGGTGAGCTGACTTGAGATAGGGGGTGCAGATGTGAGCTGAATTGAGACGGGGAGGTGCAGAGCTGAGATGAATTGAGACGGGAGGTGCAGATGTGAGATGAGTTAAAACAAGGGGTGCAGATGTGAGCTGAATTGAGACGGGGAGGTGCAGATGTGAGCTGAGTTGAGACAGGGAGGTGCAGAGGTGAGCTGAGTTGGGACGGGGAGGTGCAGAGGTGAGATGAGTTGGGACGGTGAGGTGCAGAGGTGAGCTGAGTTGGGACGGGGAGGTGCAGAGGTGAGCTGAGTTGGGACGAGGAGGTGCAGAGGTGAGATGAGTTGAGATGGGGAGGTGCAGAGGTGAGCTGAGTTGGGACGGGGAGGTGCAGAGGTGAGCTGAGTTGGGACGAGGAGGTGCAGAGGTGAGATGAGTTGAAACAAGGGGTGCAGATGTGAGCTGAATTGAGACGGGGAGGTGCAGAGGTGAGCTGAGTTGGGACGAGGAGGTGCAGAGGTGAGATGAGTTGAAAACAAGGGGTGCAGATGTGAGCTGAATTGAGACGGGGAGGTGCAGATGTGAGCTGAGTTGAGACAGGGAGGTGCAGAGGTGAGCTGAGGGACGGGGAGGTGCAGATATGAGCTGAGTTGAGATGGGGAGGTGCAGAGGTGAGCTGAGTTGGGACGGGGAGGTGCAGATATGAGCTGAGTTGGGATGGGGAGGTGCAGAGGTGAGCTGAGTTGAGGCAGGGAGGTGCAGATGTGAGCTGAGTTGAGATGGGGAGGTGTAGAAGTGAGCTGAGTTGAGACAGGGGGTGCAGAGGTGAGCTGAGTTGAGATGGGGAGGTGCAGATGTGAGCTGAGTTGAGATGGGGAGGTGTAGAAGTGAGCTGAGTTGAGACAGGGAGGTGCAGAGGTGAGCTGAGTTGAGATCGGGAGGTGCAGATGTGAGCTGAGTTGAGATTGGGAGGTGTAGAAGTGAGCTTAGTTGAGACAGGGAGGTGCAGAGGTGAGGTGTGTTGAGACGGGGAGGTGCAGAGGTGAGGTGTGTTGAGACGGGAGGTGCAGAGGTGAGCTGTGTTGAGACAGGGGGTGCAGAGGTGAGCTGTGTTGAGACGGGGAGGTGCAGAGGTGAGCTGAGTTGAGACGGGGAGGTGTAGATGTGAGCTGAGTTGAGACAGGGGGTGCAGAGGTGACCTGAGTTGGGGCCAGGGGGGTGCAGAGGTGAGCTGCGGCCGGGGGGGGGTGCAGAGGTAACTTTGAACAGGGGGGTGCAGAGGTGAACTGAGTTGCAACTGATCTCTGCACCCCCCAGCCACAGTTCACCTCTGCATCTCTTGTTCACAACTCACCACTGCACCCTGTCTGTGGCTCACCTCTGCACCCTGTCTGTGGCTCACCTCTCTGCACCCTGTCTGTGGCTCACCTGTCAATTTACCTCTGCAACACTTGACTGCAGCTCACCTTTGCACACTCCCCCCCATCCCCCTCCTCCACTTCCTTCATATGGTTAGCTTTCTTTGCAAAACACAACTGTCAGCAGCCAGGCCCTCTCTATAATAACCCCCATCCACAGCTGTCTCCAGCTCACCTCTGCACTCCCTGTTTACACTTCACCTTTTGCACCCCCAGTTCACAGCTCACCACTGCACCCCACCATCCACAACTGTCCACAACTCACCTCTGCACCCCCCTGGGACTAGGGTGGGGTGCAAAGGTAAGCTTTGGAAGGGGGGTGGAGAGGAGAGCTTCAAATGAGGTGCAGAGGTGAGCTGAGTTGGGGCGGAGGGGTGAAGAAGTGAGCTGAGGATAGGGGGTGCAAATATGAGCTGTGGACAAGGGGTGTAGAGGTGAGAATCTATTTAAACAGCATTTTTGCTTGCACGTGTTTGAAGCAGAGCTTCATCTTACTCATTAAGCTCTGGAGATAATTCCTTTGCAGATTGCAACTTTTTTTTCAAAGTGGACAACCCATTTTACTTTTGTAAATCAACCATGTTGACCTCAGATCCTATTTTTAGCTTTTGTAACTGAATAATGTTATATGGATTATTTCACATAACTTTATGTTGTAAATTGTAACATTGCAAGAAGCAGTACTTCTCATTACCCTGAAGTCTATAGATCATTTACTATAACAATTCTCAACTCATTAATTATGAACTCTGATAATCCATTATTAATGATGTAATGAAATAGATTTGTAGCTTGAAATTTTCATAGCATCCTTTACCATTGTATCAATAAATGCATTTATATATTTACATTTTGAATATAGCATATAACACGAATTGTCGTAAATGATTTATTTGGTTTTAATAAATCAACCTCCTTTCAACATGATTCATTTATGGACAACTTATGTTCTAAGCAGATACCCCAGACTTTAGGGGGGGGGGGGTCAGATTGTGGCCAGTGGGGGTAAAAAATGTCCCATGCCCAGCATCAGTGAGAATAAACATGGTCTGAGGGCTGGTGGTCAGTAGCACCAGGAATAGTGCCTCATCATTGCTATTAGTGGGAGGAATAGTGCCCCATCATTGCTATTAGTGGGAGGAATAGTGCCCCATCATTGCTATTAGTGGGAGGAATAGTGCCCCATCATTGGTGTCAGTGGGAAGAAAAGTGCTCCAACATTGATATCAATGGGAGGAATAGTGCCCCATCATTGGTGTCAGTGGGAAGAATAGTGCTCCCTCATTGGTATTAATGGGTGGAATAGTGCCCCATCATTGGTATCAGTGGGAGGAATAGTGCCCCATCATTGGTATCAATGGGAGGAATAGTGCCCCATCATTGGTATCAATGGAGGAATAGTGCCCCCGTGGGATCATAGTGCCCCATCGTTGGTATCAATGGGAGGAATAGTGCCCCATCATTGGTATCAGTGGAAGGAATAGTGCCCAGGTTATTGGTATCCGTGGGAAGAATAGTGCCCCATCGTTGGTATCAGTGGGAGGAATAGTGCCCCATCGTTGGTGTCCCCATGGGAGGGGGATAGTGCCACATCATTGGTATCAATGGGAGGAATAGTTCCCCGTCATTGGTATCAATGGGAGGAATAGTGCCCCATCATTGGTATCAGTGGGAGGAATAGTGCCCCATCATTGGTATCAGTGGGAGGAATAGTGCCCCATCATTGGTATCAGTGGGAGGAATAGTGCCCTAGGGGAGGAATAGCCCTAGGGGGAGGAATAGTGCCCTAGGGGGAGGAATAGTGCCCCATCATTGATGTCAGTGGAAGGAATAGTGCCCCCATCATTGGTATCAGTGGGAGGAATAGTGCCCCATCATTGGTATCAATGGGAGGAATAGTTCCCCATCATTGGTGTCAGTGGGAGGAATAGTTCCCCATCATTGTGCTAGTGCCCCATCATTGGTATCAATGGTAGGAATAGTGCCCCATCATTGGTATCAGTGGAAGGAATAGTGCCCCATCATTGGTATCAATGGAAGGAATAGTGCTATTCCATTGGTATCAATGTGAGGAGTAATGCCCCATATAGTGCCCCATCATTGGTATCAGTGGCAGGAATAGTGCCCATCATTAGTGCCAGTGGCAGGAATTATGTCCCATGGTTGGTTATCAGTTGGAGGAAAAGTGCCTTAATATCATGGAGGAATAATGCCCCAAAGGGGCTAGATAAAGGCTAGCAAAGAGCCGAATCTGACCCTAGGTCCACAGGTTGGAGATCACTTTGGATTTTCTAAGCCAATCACTGTTGCTCACCAAGGACTTGTTCACACGTGAGGGCGGGGGGATTCCACA